CATACGCTTTGGGGACATTAATGACAGAGGTGAGTCTCTTTTTAATTACATAATACAAAGTAGGCTTAGTGTTGCTAATAGAGGAGAGGAACCGACCTATGTTGGACCGACCTCCAAAAACGTTCTAGATATAACATTCTTCACAGAAGATAATGTACAGGTGACAGAATGGAAGGTTCTTAACGAACCATCACTTTCAGATCACAAATATATTAGTTTCCAAATAGATTTTCAGTTTCTTAAAAGCAGAAAAGTTGTAAGAAATCCCAAACAAACGAATTGGGACCTTTATCGAAAAATTCTGAAACAGAGACTGAAAAAAATTACGACAATTGACTCTTACGTGGATCTGGAAGCTAGCTGACCAACTTACCAGAGACCTAACTATAGCTTACCACATCGCGTGCCCGTCAATGCGTACTAAACGTAGATCTCAACCACCTTGGTGGAATAAGGAATTGGGAACAAAAAGACACTACGTTCACGAAATCTTCAAGCTGGCTCAGCTAGCAGAAAGTGAAGTTATCTGGGACGAGTACAGAGATATTCAGAAGCAATATAAAAGTGCCATTCGAAATGCGAAAAGAAACTCCTGGAAGGATTTCTGCGCAGGTATAGAAAAGACGATGGAGGTAGCTAGGCTTAGAAAACTACTATCCAAACACCCAACTATGCCTAACCTTGTCAGGAAGGAAAACGGCGAATGGACAAAAACTAACACCGAATCACTTGTAGATCTTACTAACACTCACTTTCCTGGCTGTGCAATTGTGAGCAATACCGAACCGGTCAGGAGTACAGTAGGCTCCGCAGGAAAAAATATTGTCACTCACGCGAGGCTGGAATGGGCAATCAAATCATTCGCCTCATACAAATCTCCTGGACTTGATGGCATTTATCCAGCTATGATACAAAAGGCTTCGGACCTAATAAAAACATTGCTGATAAATATCTTTAGAGGATGCCTGAAGTATAATTACGTACCTGTAAACTGGAGAGTGGCAAGAGTCATTTTTATTCCGAAAGCAGGAAAAAAATGGTCACCTCTACTCTAGAGATTATAGGCCAATTAGTCTTACCTTTTTTATTCTCAAAATTTTTGAAAAAATACTAGCAGCACATATAGGAGACCAATTAGCTCCTGAAGTTCTGTCAAGAGCACAGCACGCTTATACTAAGGGCAGATCCACGGAGACTGCTCTCCATACACTTGTCTCTAATATTGAAAAGGCCTTAGAATACAAAGAATACGCTCTAGGAGTTTTTCTGGATATTGCGGGTGCTTTCAATAATGTATCAACGCAAGCTATTTTAAATAGCTTAGATGATGTTGGTATAGACTCGGCCACATATCAATGGATTGCAAGTCTTTTAAGCTGCAGACAAATAAGGGCAGAATGGAACGATACAACTCTAACTAGGGAAACATGTAGAGGAACCCCGCAGGGAGGCGTTCTCTCACCCCTTCTCTGGTTACTGGTAATCAATAAAATTCCTAAACAGTTTGATGGTAAAGCTCCGAAACTAATTGCATATGCAGACGACATCGCTGTAGTTATAACGGGGAGATGCCTATTTACTCTAAGTGCGTTAATGAGCGACGCTCTCAAATCAATTTACAGCTGGGCGACCGACGCTGGCTTAAGCGTAAACGCAGAAAAAACTGACACAATACTTTTCACAAGAAACAAGTTCATGCTGTACAAGTTCACAGCATGGATGCCACCTAACTTAAACGCAACTCTTTTGCCACTGAAACGAAATACCTGGTAATAATCGTGGATAGCAAACTGGCGTGGAAGCCTAATGTAGAGGAATGGGTAAAGAAGGCAACAAATGCTTTATACGCATGTAAAAGGATGCTGGGAAGTACATGGGGTCTCTCACCCGGTCTTATGTACTGGTGCTACACGGTTATAGTCAGACATAACATATATTACTTTACGGTATATTAGTTTGGTGTACAGTTGTGAAAAAGAAAACATATATAAAACCTCTGGAAAAGGTCCAAAGACACGAAGCGATGTGCATCACCGGTACAATAAGAACAACTCCGACGGCAGCTCTAGAAGCTATACTAAACTTACCCCCAATTGATATCTTTGCCGAGAATATGGCGGCAAAAACAGCCGAACGACTACGCATCACTGGGCAACTTACTCGAAGATCTTTTGGGCATAACGTTGTAAATCAGAACGCCACTCTTGATTCAGATTATATGATCCCGATCGTGTACACAGGAGCAACAATAAAAACTGTGATCGAAAACCAAGGATGGAAAAAAGGCATGGTGCCAAAATGCAACACCATAAATGTTTTCACAGACGGTTCAAAGATGGAAGTGAGAGTAGGAGCTGGCATATATTGTGCGGAATTGAGCGTAAGAATGCCGTTTAAACTTCCCAACTACTGCAGTGTCTTCCAAGCAGAAGTGTTTGCTGTTAAGAAAGCGGCGGAGCTTGTGTGTAGGGATGAAACGAGAAACTACTGCATAAATTTCTATGTGGATAGCCAAGCAGCCATTAAGGGGATCAAATCTTACTGGTCATCATCCAAAAATGTTCTAGAATGCAAGGAAGCTACAGCAAGACTAGCCTGCAACCGCAGACTTTTTTATGTACTGGATTCCTGGTCATAAAGGCATAGAGGGAAATGAGACAGTTGATGCTATTGCTAAAAATGGCGCAAAACTTTCAGAGGAACAAACGAACGAAGTACGCAGACCTCTGAAACAAATACATAAACTTCTGAACGAGCACATGATAAGGAGAGCAAAGGTAAGGTGGCGGAACTTAACCACCTGTAGAGCAGCTAGAATTATGTGTAGACACATATAATTACGTGGTTGCACGCTTATAAGTGAATTAAGGTTATGAAATAAACGAATAAAACACAATTTGGGATAGTTTTAAATTCTAATTTATATTTATTAATAACTTTAAAATATTTTTTTTAAACTTTTACAAAAATATATAAGTATTTAATGTTTGATATTTTAATAAGTTATGGGTTTAATAACTTTAATATTTCTTTCAATTTTAGTAATATAATAATAATAAAGAGTATGCGTGAAACTTGCCCAACAGCCGGTACTGCGGCCAGAAGAGATTTAGTAACTTTTAATATTCAATTTTAGTAACTTTTAATATTTTTAATTTTAGTAACTCTTAATATTTTTAATTTTAGTAACTTTTAATATTTTTTAATTTTAGTAACTCTTAATATTTTTAATTTTAGTAACTTTTAATATTTTTAATTTTAGTAACTTTTAATATTTTTAATTTTAGTAACTTTAAATATTTTTAATTTTAGTAACTTTTAATATTTTTAATTTTAGTAACTTTTAATATTTTTAATTTTTAGTAACTTTTAATATTTTTAATTTTAGTAACTTTTAATATTTTTAATTTTTAGTAACTTTTAATATTTTTAATTTTAGTAACTTTAAATTTTTTTTATTTTAGTAACTTTTATCAACCGAATGAAATCTTTTTCACTATATCGGAACCGAAGGAGATAGTTGTAACTTTAACAAAAACTAAACTTAACAGGATTGATCTTAGGGTTTTATACCTGGTTTAACAGAGATAAATTCAAGGTCTCAAAAGCTATATTTTTGAGCTTTGAATTTTGTATGAAAACAGCTTAAAGTTTCTGTTCTAACAGAAAGGTTTCTCTGTTGTTAGCATGACAACTCAAAAGTTTGCTGTTTATAACATAGCGTCACTTTTAAGCTCATACTTAAAATTATGCTATGATCAGCATTGGGTACTGTCACTTAATGCTGTACAAAGACTTTTGTTGATCATACGATCATGTACTCAAGGTTTGTTTACAATAGCTTTTGTTTTGTTGAAGCTATTGTATGGTCACTTAAGGAAGGGGTTGTTACTTTGTAACAATTTTTAATGTGAAAAACGTGTAGCATTTTTTACAATGTACGGGATAAGTGGAATTTTCAAATAGTTCTGTGTGGTCGTTTGGGTATTTAATTTATGTTTATTTACATTTGAGTATAAGGAATTTTTATTGAACTTTATGATGTGACTAATTTTTATGCAACAATGTGGTTGATACATTGTGGCAATAGAGAAATATTAGCATCTATGCTAATATGTAACTATATACGAAGAAAGTACACCAAGAATGATATATCGTTTAATCGAAGGAACTGTAGAACATTAAATGGTATGTTGACAGGTCATTGTTTGGTTGCATCACATGCCCGAAAACTAAACCTTATTCACAACGATGCTTGCAGGAAATGCAAAGAGCCGGATGCAAAGGAAACTCAAGAGCAATTGATGTGTACTTATACTTGGGGGAGCCGTTACCACGCACAATTCGAAGCAAACCGAATTCGACCATCTTGAATTATACACTGAATTCGTTAGATGTGACGCTCTTTAAAAGCCACTACAGAGCCCCCACAATAGATCATATAAAGTACTAGAAAGAGCGAAAAAGATATTTAAAATATTTATCGAGAATAAGGAGAGGTTTATGTCATCAGACAGATTGCAACCAGCATGCATACCGAAATTATATGGCAGCGACTTTGAAGCTAAATGACTCCGTTTTGTCAAAATAGTTTGTTTCGCACTTTAGCTTCACTAGAGGCGGAGTACTGTGGCAGCTACCTGACCTACAGCATAATCAACTTGAACATCGCATTCGAACATATGAATAGTTGAAACATTAAATGTAAATACTGTAAATAAGTACCAGAAATAAAGTACCAGTTCCTTCTGGACTGTAATAAATACAACACAAGCTTTACAACACAATACTGTAATAAGTACAACACAAGCCTCATTAACAACACTAACATCATTAACATCACTTATAATGTATAAATTTGAAATATATAATAATTATTAGTTCAAATATGACATAAATTATAGTACAATATATTATTATTATTAAATAATAGGCTATGAATGCACCCCGACCTAAAAGATTTATTGTGCGCCTAAAGGTCGCACTAAGACAATTCTAGACTATTTATAAATATTGTAATTGCTGTAGGCTTGATTTTGCCTATTTGATTTCGGACTAAGATCCCGCTTCCAAGATAGTCGAGTCTTTGTTTTGCTTCCGCTGGGCAGTTGCATAGAATATGTTCTGATGTTTCCTTCTCATAACAGAAATGACAGGAGTCAGTTTGTACCGCATCTATAATCTTCGTGTGGTAATTAAGTAGTACAATATAAATATGGATAAAGTTTTATTTTTTTTTCAATACAATTTATATTAATAAAATAATACATTAAGTTTTACTACTTTTCATTAAATTTTAAACGGTAAAATCCATTTTCATCAGCACGATAAATAAATCGTTTGTGTCCTTCTGGTCTTTGAAGTTGATGTTTAACTTTTAAATGCTGCGTAAGGGTCTTTCCATTTCTATACGGCTTTTCACATATGTGACAGAGATAAATAATAGGCGAGTCTTCATGAATTTCCAAGTAATGCTAAAAAAGAGAAAATTTCATATTACCATTTACGAATATATTCACATCCAAAAAAGATTATATAAAAACAAAGTTTTGTATATTTATTTAAATTAAATTCATTCATTACTAATCCAACCACAACTAAAATTGTTGTGTAAAGAGATTAGGGAAGTATAGAAAGTTAAACGTAGCGCTAGCACAGCTAGGCACCTTTAGTGTTCACAACAAGGCGAACTAACTAAGTTGAAACTAGACAACTTGAATTTAGTAAAGTAAAAGCCTCAATGTTTAGTTGAATCTGAGTTTATTCATTAAAATTATACAGTATTTATACTTATTCTAAACTGAACACTAACCTATCTGAATATTATGTTCACCTAGTATTTTTCATATTAAAATGCTTATAATGCACTTTAATTAATTTAAAAATGAAATTATTTTATTATTTAATAATTTGGGCTAAATGAAATTCAAATATAAGTTAATGTACTTTAAGTGTTTCATTTAAGCAAAACAAAAGGATCAAATTCCTTTTCTTTATATATATAAAATTCCAAATTATTTCTATATTAAAATTGTAATTAGATTCTTATCGGTGTTTCAACAATGGGCATAAATACTTGTCATGTGTAGATGTCAAGTTATATTAAAGAAGTAAAAAATTGTATGCCAGCAATTAGATTTAACATTATAAATATATTCTATTGTTTTTTTGGATTGCTTTCTGTAATAATTATCATGCTTTTTGTTCTGAGTTGTGCTATCATCATAAGAGTGCAATTTTGGTTGTGAGCTGTGTTGTTGCCGCTTTAACTATTGTGTCTTCAGCAATATATTCGTCTTTGTCAACTTCTGTTTCAGTATTTTCATGTTGCTCTTCATTGGATAGTGCATCATCTTCATTACGAACATTACGATACACTACAGCTGACAATTTGTGAAGGTTCCAGTATTTTGTGCTATACTGGAACCTTCGTGTGGTGAAAACACAAGGCACCTGATTTTTGAAATTTATCAAAATTTGCACAGAATAGCAAAAAACCTTTTGCTTGATAAAAATATTGATTAATTTTTAATACTTTATAAATTTGTCAAGTTCACAGATTAGAGGGGTAAATTTTTATACATAATAAACAAATTTATAAGAAAGTATATTGTATTCAAATCTTATATTGTGAGCATAAACATATGTTTCTTCTTGCAAATTGGACGAATAATGTGATTACATGCTTGTGAATAGTAGGTTTTGCATGGATATGGAATATGTCTTGTCGTTGGTACAGTTCATATTTACAAGAAGAAAAAGAACACTGGATGAAGCAGACATTAATATTTCTTCTACGAAGGAATATCTGACCTTATTTTTTAGTCCAAATATTGAGATTGATATTTTAATTTATATAGGTAAAACTAATATACATTAACTGGGTGCCAGGAAATTCATATTTTTAGACAGTCATCGAGTACCTAGAGAGAAGACATTTAGATTGATTCGCATCACTAATATCACCGCTGTTAATACAATATGGAAATCAACGAGATCAAGATCGGGAAAAGTATTGTCAAAAGAATCTCGGAGTGCACATAATCAACATAATAATATTAAAATATTTTTGATATATTTCATATAAATAATCAAAAGGTCAGACAAATAAATAAGAAAAAGTAAATAGAAAATATCTGTGTTTTTATGCTTCTATGCCATCTATAACTTTCTTGTAAGGTTTGCAAATTATACGTTTTAGTGATTTTTTGTATGTGCTCATCATAACATTTTACGTGCTCTCGTAAAATGTTATGAACACATACATATAAGATATTTGCTAATCAGCAATTTCGTATATCTTTTGTTGGCGATCTCATATCATTAAATTATCGGTCTAATTCACCATAATTATAATTATTACATTTAAGCATCCTGATTGCTTAGTTTCTTTTGTAATCAAACAACAAGCCTAAGTAATAAAAACACAACACATTTACATTTTATGCTTCAATGTAAAATCTTTTAGCTCAACGCAAGATTTATCAAGCTCTCCGAAATATACCTCAGTTTCCTATCCACTCCATCCTTTGATGCAAATCTCTTTTCCTGGGACCATCTTTTCAAGTTTAGAAACAATTAATAGTCACTCGAAGCCAAATCTACGGTTGGCAAATTGATACGGTTGGTAAGGAAGCAATTCGTACCTTAAATTATTTAATTTTACTATAGTGCCTTATCTTGCAAAAATAACATTTTCTTCTTTGACAAATGTGGTAGTTTTTTCTTTATTTCCTCATTCAATTGGCCAATAATATACAATAAGGTAAATCCTCAACAGAGCAAATATGAGCGAACGAACGTTTGCACAAATGCGACCGAATTATTTAGGCGAATAAAAATATTTATAGCAAACTAAGCGAACGAACGAAAATTTGAGAAGCGATCTGGTCTAGACGATGAAGCAAAATGCGAACGAACTCATTTGTAGAGTTTGCTAGTATTCCGCTGCATTTGAGTTTACTGTGAAATGTGCACCAATTCGTTCCTTTGTTCGATTGCATTTGCTGTGAGATGTGGACGAATATTTTATATGAAATGAAATATTTGTTTGCGTTCGTGAATGTTCGCTTGTCGATGGAAAAACAAACGAATGTGGTAACATACTCTATGTTATTATTAAGTATTGTATAATTTTCATAAAATGTTGTCTTTTATGATTTTTTTTTTTTTTTTGTAAATTGTTTTATTATATATGGTATTAAAGAACAATAAATAAAACAAAACAAGACAGAAAGCAACTAGTTATAAATAACTAACAAGCAATTTAAATTTAAACAGATTAGGCGATTCCACGCAATAATAAATTAACTGTAGTACATTTCAATGATTTCAGCCCAAAGATCGCACGGCTTTTGGCGCTTTAGACGGTGTATTGCCTCAGTTGTCGCTAGTAAGTCAGAATTTCTCACGTACCATGGCGCGTTTGTTACACTCCGTAGCATGAAATTTTGGAATCTTTGAATGATAGAAATTTGTGTTTTGCTTGCGCAACCCCATAGCTGTATTCCATACGTCCAGATTGGCTGGAGCATTTGTTTGTATAATACAAGTTTATTGAAAAGCGACAGTTTTGATTTTTTGCATATTAACCATTTCAACGATTTGAATTTAAGATCTAATTCACTTCTTTTCTTTTTTATGTGCTCGCTCCATCTTAGTTTAGCGTCCAAAGTCAAAGCCAAGTATTTCGCAGTATTCGCGTGAGGGATTTGTGCTTCATCGATGTATACAGGTATATGACTGATGTTTCGATTTGTGAAATTTACATGCACTGATTTTTCTTTATTCAGATTGATTTTCCATTTCTTTGTCCAAGCAATTATACTGTCCATACTATTTTGCAAATTATTAGCTGCTATTACTGCGCTTTCTCCAACTGCAAGGACTGCAGTATCATCAGCAAAAGTTGCTGTGAACGTCGTTGCACTCGTTGGCAAGTCGTGTGTATAAATGAGATATAAGAGAGGACCCAAGACACTACCTTGCGGAACTCCAGCGTTAATTTTATACAATTTGCTATAGGCATCACCGTGATTTACTCGAAAGTAACGATCAGATAAGAGGAGATTACGTCATAATACTCCGTTGGGAGAATATTTTTTACTTTGGTAAGCAATCCGGAGTGCCAGACTTTATCGAAAGCCCGCGAGACATCTAAAAACACAGCTGAGCAGATTTTTTTTTCCTCAAGAGCTTTTTCTATTACATTGGTAATCCTATGGACTTGATCTATAGTGGAGTGATTGCACCTAAAACCAAACTGATGTAAAGGTATTATGTTTTGACTTTCAATCATAGCAAGGATTCTTTTAAGTAAGACTTTTTCAAATATTTTTGAAAGTACAGGCAGAAGTGCTATTGGTCTGTAACCATTAATATCCTTTCCTGGCTTATGTACCATGATAATTTCAGATACTTTCCACAGAGATGGAAGGGTTCGCATCTGTATTATAGCGTTAAATATATTCGTAATTTTAACTAGGCATTTTGCAAGAATTTCTTTTAAAACTTCAGCACTTATCAATTCATAACCTGGGGTTTTTTTTAGCTTAAGTTCATTTTTAATAATCATCATTACCTCAAGCTCGGTGGTTGGTGGAATACAGGATGAATGTGCTGTCCTAGGAGGGCAGATTACTGCATTATTAACGTTTTCGTCAATGGAAAACACTTTTGACAGGTGTTCGGAAAAGACATCCACTTTTTCCTCATCACTTTTAGCCCATTGATTAGCGTGATTTTTAATTTGAGCTTTGTGTACTAAAGGTCGCTTAAGGTTTCGTGTGCATTTCCAGAGAGAATAGTTGGTAGCACGATCATTACTTAAGTTAGATAGGTAGTAGTTGAATTGATTATTTTTAAATTGCTTGATTTTTAGGCTGAGTTCTTTTGCAAGTCTGTTAAGAATGGTTTTGTCTGCTGGAAATATGGATTGCTGCCACTTTTTCCGCATCTTTCATTTCCCCGCATAAGATCCACAATGGCTTTTGGGTATTTATGAGGATAAGTTGCATTCCTTAATGTGGGCGTGCTGCACAATGCCGCATATTGTAGTAAATTTGTAAGGTTCAAAATTTCGCTTTCAAAATCGTTTTCTTCACAAATTTCTTTTGTAGCAATGGTGTTTTCATTAAGGATTCTTCTGAAGTAACTCCAATCTGTGTATTTATTTTCAAGTTTTAGACATTTTTTTATTTATTAAGGCAGATTCGAAGAGGGTTATGTAGAGAGGGGAATGGTCGGAGCTTAGTTCTGCTCCATCTGTTATTTTTAAATTGTAGGACGAAATTTGCTTGGTTATAAAGAAATCGAGTAGATCAGGCACCTTTGTTGGGTCAGTTGTAGGTTGGGTTCCCGGATGACAAGCATTCGCAGCCAGTTTGCTGTATAGCTTTGAGGAGCTCTCTACCTTTCGTTGTAATTAGGCGAGAGCCCCAATGCGTATATTTAGCGTTGAAATCGTCACCCATAA